GGGCGATCGGCGGCAAGGGCGACGGCATAATGAGCCGAGAGGGAATGCCACGGATCCAGTGCCCGACCGCGGCCCTAATGAGACTGCAAGCGAGCTCAAATCCAGTGAGCTGTGTCTCATGAGACTTGGGGCCTGGGGAAAGTCCAACGGGCTCGGAGGTAGGCAGGCCAAGGATGGAAAAGCAGTAATGACATTCCGGTTCCTCGAACGCGAGAAAGTCAACTGTTTGACCAGTACGGAGTTCCTGCAACGTGTCGCTGTGCTCATATTGCAAGCAGCGGCAATCCTCAACAGCAAGAGCAAAGTCGGGCGGAAGTGGGCCGACCTGAATCCAGACGGTATGGGGGCTGGCCGCAGGCGGTCTGGCCCACCTCAGAGGGGCACAGTCGATGAGCTCCAGATATAGGCTGCTGTGCTTATACGTGTCGGGGGAAGGCCCGCCAGTCTCATTAACAGGGACCAGCCAGCTGACAAGGTCGACAGAGCACAACCATCTGGCAGCGGATCGCAGGACATCTAGGGTGGCCGATTCTGCTTGCTGTGCTGGGTGCTCCAGGAGTGTTCGCCAGCGTTCAGCTGTGATCTGCAGTCTGGCAGACTGAAGGCATATGCAAGAGAAGGCTGCTCGGATTCGGCCCCAGCGCTCCTCCTCTGACATTCGCAGCAGAAGCCCATCGTGATCGAGGAGGGCTAAACAGTCTAGAAGTTCCGCTGCGGGGCGTGCAGCCTCTTCCTCGATAACAAACTGGACCGTTGGATTCGGACACAGCGCCGGTCCTTCTGCCTGGAGGACAGGCATCAAATCGGTGCCATCATCATGCGCTTTGCGGCTGCCTATGCCAGGCGCAGGAGCGTGTCGAGTGCCGGCTGCAAGGAGCCTGTCCCGACAGGCCAGGCTATACCAAAGATGGCGGCTGAGCTTTACCGCGGAGGTAAAATGCTTCATGCAGATCGGACATTGTGACCCAGGCGCCAAACGGCGCATCTCGTCCGTCCGGCCATGCGTAGAGAATGCATGTACCGACCAAGCGCGGTAATCTCGGAAATGTTTGGAACAGACGGCGCAGCATTCCCGAGGGCCATCTGTGATCTCATTGGTAGCGGAAACTGAAGCCCCTGCCCCTTGAAGTTGCTTAAGGAAGAGGCCCTGATGGCGCAGACGGGAGGCCTGCATGGCCTGCCAGCGCTCCCTGGCAGCTGCAGATACCTGTGCTCTCCTGATTCTCGCTTTCCAGCGTCCTGGGTGGTGCCGAGCCTCCATACCTCCCAGGCGTGCTCCCAAGTCGGGTACTGACAACCAGGGTCTGTCAGTTCCCAAAGCCACTGGACCGACGAGGCAACGCTCCGTAGCCAAACACCCTCCCAGTGAGCTAGTGCCCAGATTTCGGGCACATCCAGCACAATGCACGAGAGAAGGTACCGGAGTCGGTGCACATGGAGGTAGGTGGGGACGCTGGATAGACCAGCCAGGGAAAGCACATAGGAAGTGCAAGTGCCACGCCTGTGTGGTGGTGTACGCCGGTCGGAGCATCTGGCAAGCCATGCTGCGGAGGGCCCCTGTAAGCTTACTGATGCAAGCATCAGTAGGCTCAGGCCAGGTGCCCGATCCGTAGAAAAGTGTGGTGGCAACCAGGCTATCGAAGAGCAATGCCTTTTCCTCCGCCCCAACCCGGGGGGAGGCAAAAATCTGCTTCTTCCTTGAGTTGAAAGCTGTCCAAGCCTGTGCTGTTCGGGCTTTGATCTCGCGTAGTAGGCTCCCGCGATGGTGAAGCACCCCCCCAAGGTGCCGGTACGACGCAGTGAGCCGTAACTGGGCCTCCGGCCACAGCCGGCAGTTCAGCGGGAGGGCCCCTGCGTTTGCGGCAAAAAGCTGTTGCTTTGCCTTTCTGGCACCTTTGGCACGGAGATGAACAATGGCCTCCGTCTTCCCCCTCTTAAGGTTTGGAAGCAAGGCGTGTTCCAAACACGTGTCAAGCAAGGTGGAGGCTCCGGTCCGGAGCCGGCTCACAAGGGTGGTCCCATCCGGGGCTTGGAGCAGCATCGAGAGGTCGTCCATCCAAGTGGCATCAAGTATGGCAAGGGTGCCGGCCGGCACTGAGGGCAAAGGCGTCAACCTTCCCGACATGTCCTCATGCCACGGAATCTCTGGCATAGACCCGGTGTCACGAAGGGAGGCTCGGACATGGCTCAGAACTCGCGCGAAAAGCAAGCTGAAGACAAGGTCAGACAGAGAATCGCCGGGCCGGGATCCGATGGCCGTGGAAACAATGGCCTCATCATCCGGGAACTTGAACCACGTCCCTTGTAGTGTCTCCTCAAGGGCACGCGTAGTCCATTGGCTTGCTCCTGCTGCCTGGGACAGTGCCGGTTGCTGTAGGTGGCGTTTGATATCGTGATAGACGCCACTGGGCAGGCTAACAGCCTGGCATGCCCGGGCGAGGGCCTCTTCCGTCAAGGGACCTCCGGTAACCAAGGGCCTCACTATACGATAGAAGGCTTCTTGGAGATCGAGAAATAAAATGCTATGGCACATGCCACGTTGGAGACACGCTGACTGATATAGTCTGGTGGCATGGGCAGGCAACGTGACCGGGTGGCCAGGCAACCCCCCTACCTGAAGGGGCGATACAGCATTGCAAAGTGCTGGTACGCATTTGCGGCGCAGCAGTTTGTGCATGGACTTACTGACAACCGAGGAGACAAGTATCCCTCGATACGAGGAACACTGGTGTCTCGGCCCCTTGCGCTTGTAGACGCAGTGTAGAACTCCCCCCTTGTGCTGGACTGGTTCGGCAAGGGTGAGTAGTGACTTGAGCTGCAATTGAAATAGGGGGCGGGCGAGAAATGGTGCGCAGTAATGCAGCAGTTCGCCAGGCAGTCCGTCTACGCCGTAAGCTCGGTCAGTGGATGTGGAGCGCAAGGCCCATTCCAAGTCCCCGAGCGTAGGAGCATCGAGGTGGGAGACCACATAATCTTCCATGCACTTACCGGCCTGTCGGTGCATGCAGTCCCGTACTAGCTCCAGAGGGGTACACTGTGAACCTGCTTCAATGGACGAAAAATGGTCCAGCCAGCACTGTTTAGCCTCCTCCTGAGTCGCGGCAATTGAACCATCCTTACGCTCAACGGCTGGGAGCGGGGCCCGATCTCGCTGCTTCCACTTCGGACCACCCGTGAGTGTGCGCAGCCGTTGCACTGTGGACTGAGTGGCCGCAGTTTCAGAAGCGGTAGCAACGGCTCGAATGTGCTGTTGGTGATCCTGCCGGATTTCTAATCGGAGCTGCTGGCTGGACTGTCTGAGTTCGGCCAGAAAGGTGGGGAGGTCTTTGAGAGCCCACAGAACGGATGCGCAGCAGGCCAAAAGGGAGTCCGAGATACTCCTGCCAGTCTTCCACGCCTCAACCGCAGCGCGCAGGTGCCATTGGTGTAAGTGCCGCGAAGCGCCCCGGACCCTCTTGCGTAGCCATTCCCGCCGGCCCCTGAGCTGCCAGGTGGAGGCCCGGAAATACTCGTGTCTGCAGGGGGCCCTTTTGACAGGGAAGGCAGTAGCCAGACTGCCACGGAAATAGTTGTCTAGGGTCTGAGCATGGCGGTGGACGTCCAGGCTCCCGGGTTGTAGCGGCACATCCTGACAGATTTGTCGAAGGATTTGCGCGGCCCTCAGGGGTACGCATCGCAGCCGTGTCAAGTCGTTGGTGAGGACGCCTGGCGGGCAATCCAGTATACACGGCTCCGTGCACCCAGAGCTGGACAGCAATGTGGTCGGTTCGACTTTGACCCCAGTCCAGGCCAGGATTGACAGCACTACCATCACTCGCAACCTGCCATGACGCTGGGATGGCTATGTAATCGAGTCTGGCAGCTCCTGTGCCATTGGGGGGATGCCAAGTGGCAGTATCCCCAGGGTGGCAGAACTCAAATGTGCTGGGAAGCCACAAGGAAAAGTGGTCGAGGATGCGGTAGAATGCCAAGGGAGGGTCCGGGTTTTTAGTACCCCATACCAAGTTGCCAATCGCCTGGGCATGGCTGAAGTGCATATGGAGATTATAATCCCCTAGCATAACCAGAAAGGCATCCTGGGCGATGCGACGCAAAAGCTGGAAAAGGTCCAGCCACCAGCTGTCACGCTCAGAACTGGCATTGTGGGGCGCGTGTACACAGACGAACAAGATTCGCAGCGACAGGTTTGCGTATCGGACCGCCAAAATCCTGGGCGTCCAGTGTACAGCCAGAAAATCGCCGGGACGGAAGAAGACAGGTCGTCCGATTCAGTGAAGAGAGGACTATCCCTACTAAACCATAACTCAACTCCGCCGGAACCGTCCTCTGCTTTGGCACTGGTGTACCTAACATGACTGGCGGAAACGTAGGTCTCGCTGGCTCTAGAGCGTGTTTCCTGCAGGGCCGCAACACAGATCCCCGCAGCCTGCAACTGGTCCCTGAGGAATCGAGTCCGCCCAACAAACTCGCCTGGGCTTACACCAGCCTCGTCGCCGGACGAGTCTTGTGGGTACAAGGTTTGAACATTGACCGTGAGCAGGCATGCGGCCAGCGCTCCTGGCAGAGAACGCCGGGCAGGCCTGCCAGACGGTGCCGGTGGGATGCCAAAGAAAGCTTCGCACTCGTCTTTAGTAGGGATTGGCACAAGAGGGCATGGCGCGGAGACAAGAGCGTCTCCTCGGAGCTCTGGCCAAGCCTCAGGTCTGTGAACAGCCTCGGCCACAAGCCACAACCAAGAAAAAGACGTCTGGCTTGCAAGTTTGGAGATGTAGGTGAGGGGGCCCTCACAGCAAGCGCCAACACCGGCGCACGCAAGCTTTGCTAGGCAGTCCGCAACCTCATTGCCGGGGTTCCCAACATGGGAACGAGAATGATGCACACGAAACTGTCGGTCCCCTACTGACCTCAAGAGATGGGCAGCAGCCCGACACTTGCCAGGCAGAGAGGCAGTGTCATGGGCACCACCGGTACCAGCGACGATAGATATGGCTGACGTGCAATCAGAGTACACATCGATGGCGACATAAGCCGGGAGTTGGATACACCAGCACGTCGCCCAAAAGAGAGCAGCAACTTACTTCGGCGGAGAAGGCTCCCTCTTGGAAGGCCCCAAGACAGCTCGCTTGTGTAGGGTCGTTTGTCAGGCGATTGCCCTGCCATCCGAGGTGGTAGTGGTGATCGTCTGCAAGTGCACAAACGTGGAATGCCCAAGCAGAGTGCCGGCCATCGTATGAACCATCAGTGTAGATCTCGACCCTCTGGAGGTCGTGATAGGAAATATGGTCAAGGCAGGGATCCCACTGCAGCAACCAATCAAGGACATCTCCCGGAAGTCTAATGGACGGCAAAGATGCAAGTTTCCAGTGTCCGGGTCTGACCAGGGGGGCGATATCGTCAAAAGAGCATGCAATGGGCGTTTGCACATCTGTGAGGTTGAAGACCCGGCAAGGCTCAAGATGGTCTGAGATGCCTAGAACTCTTGACCTCGGACCGTCTGTCTGAGGCTCGGCGCTCATTGCAATGGGATGTTCAGGCAGTGCAGCATCTGCCAATGCGGTCTCCTTTTCATGAGAATGTTCAACTAGCGTCTCAAGGAGGGTCCTGGCAAGATAAAAGGCAAAGTAACGAGTCTGACGCAACGATTGCTCAAGAAGGGTTGGGCCGATCCCCAGGGCAGGGACAGTGCCGCTGGGCGCCTCAGACTGCACATTGCAGTGTGCTACCGGGCCACCTGCTCCCTTAGAGGTCGCAGCACGACTGCCAAGGTCATCGAGTGCGCCGATCGTTGCGGCAGGAACGCGAACTCGACAAGGTGTTGCGACAGGTCTGACGGAGACAATATCAGGCGCTGGTACTATTGGGAACTTTAGCAGGGGTCCCGAGAGTGCAGAGGTGTCGGACAGGGGCCCACAGCTCTGGGCGGCAATATTTAAACCCGTCGTCCACGTGGTAACTCCATCGGGCCCTTCTCCAGGTTCCTGTGAGTTGCCTGGATTGAACTGAGCAGTACTAATGTGTACAGCGGCATTTGGGCGGACTGCAGATCCCCAAATGGTAAGGAAAAGAAGCCACCTGCGGCCGGCAGCCCAAAGGCCTAGCCCGGATCGCAGCGCAGGAATCCTAGAAGCCCGGTGGTTCCCAGCTCTGTCATGTGAGGAGGCGTCCGCAGGGGGGAGATGCGAGTCATGTGATCCTCCGGTACCTGCATCTTGTGAAAGCTGATCTGTATCACGCAACTCTCGATGCCGGGGAGGGAGTGCAGGGTCTATGACGGTTGGTGCTGCTGGGTCACGGATGGGCCAGGGGACAAATGGAGCAGGTTCAAAAGAAACCCGGAACACTTCCCCAGGACTAAACCGTACATAAAGCTGCAGAGGAGGTCTCTCCGGGCGGCCGCCCGTACACGTAACACGTAGTCCTGGGGGACACCTGGCCTCGAACCTGCGCTGTAGCCCGCGTAGGTTATAAGGACTCCCTCAGCATTCGCTCCCCACTCGAGACCGCGCATGATGGGCCGCAGATCTAGGATATATGGGACGAGTCCAATACCCTCAACATCAAGCCGAATCTCCAGCGCAGTCACAATGATCGCGGTGCTGATCTGATGACCTCTAACAGCCAGATCCCGAAACCTAGGGTGGCAAGGCCTAACCCGTAGGGAGTCTTGGGGAATACGCAGGGCCCGGGACAAATCGTGGCGAAGCTGATGACGACGAGCGGAGTCGAATTGGAAAAGGTGCTGTCGTTCATCAGCCAGCAGCAGTAAAGTGCTGGGGCCATGCGGTACCGATGGGGGCGGGCGGCGCCATCCCTCTCTGTCACGTAGCATGTCCGCAAGCGTGGCCAGCACAACTATGGCATGGTTCGCTGGCTGAATGGAAACAAGATCCCCAGGGTGGGCCTGTATTGCAATCCCATCCAGGAGAGGCCAAGGCATGTCCCTGACGTATACATGCGTCTCAGCTCCCTCGGGCAAGGCAACGAATGCAAGGAAGTCATGTCGCTGGGAGAGCGGGGGAACTTCAGCAACAAAGAAGCGGTGTTCGAACCCGTTCTCAATCAAAACTGGAACTCCAGGTCCGTCCCAAGGAGGAAGGGCGAGGACAAAAGCACTTCCAGAGTGGGGTTGGTGGCTGACAGGCAGGAGCCGCGGAAACCACGTGGCATGTGGCTCACTCCTGGCGTGCGAAATGTGCTGCAAGGCAAGGGTGATATCTGTCGGCACTGGCAACCGGATCGTAATCTGTTCCAGCGCATAATCAACTGTGCAGACAGAAAAGGTCATGAGGACCGGGGGGGAACCCTCCTCTGTCCGGAGCTGCTGGGACTGTTCCGTAACGGGATCCTCCTGATCTGAGCCTGAGTTGTGATCGCTCGTACCTGTATAAGGAGTCGAAGCGGCTCCTTGGGCTGCGCTCTCAGAACTTGGGAGTCCTCGCGCTTCCCGGTGACCGGAACGAGACAATGTCGCAACAAGTATTTGACCTGGAGCCAACCAGACAACGCCCGGGCCCTCTAGACAGCCATCCAGAAGGAGCCGGAATCCCCACGCCACATAATCAGCAAGATTGCCAAACAGAGTCCGCTGGGGGACATAGCCATTGTATACGAGGATCGATCTCTTTGAAAGCAGCACCTAGGGGGCGGCAGTCGATGAGCGCTGCGTGCCACGCAAGACCGGGGTTGCCAGGAGGGGGGTGTGTGACCGCGAGGACACAGGGACAGTTCACCCCCCGGATTGCAACATTAGTGGGGCTGGGTTGCGCAGCGAAGAGGCGCATGCGCGTCGGGTCTGCTCCGGTAACTCCAGAAATTGCGTCTCGATAGCGCATTGGGTCGCGCACCGCGTCAACGCAGAGTCTGGTAGTGCCCCTGTGGACCAGGCAGTGTGCCTCAGGAACATGGGGAAAGGGCAGATCGTGCGGCATGCTCCAAGCGAGGTGAGTCTCCAGCATGCCTCCGAGAGTGAGTAGCTCAGGATTAGCGCTCCCAACATGGCGGAAGGTGACGAGTGCGCCCGGGAAGAGGTGCACAGCAACATCACCGACGGGATCCTGATCCACACCAAAGTAGACATCATAGTCAATTGCTGGAAGCAACCCCGCAAGACACACGAGATCTGCTTTGGTAGCATAGGGCGGTGCAGAGACCGCAAAAAGCCTTCCGTCAACATCTACAGTGTCTATGCAGACAAGGTCTGGAGCTGCGTTCCAGATTTGGTGAGCGATGTAGAGGGCAAGTCCATATGATGGCTGTGGGAGAACAGGGAGCAACTGCGGGTACTGATCCGCATCACCTGGTGACCGTGCCTGACGAAGTTCCTGTGTGAGCTCGTCTGGTGTGGCAGGAACATCAATCGTAACATGAAGCATCTCGCGCGTATAGTCAAGCTTGAAGACTACACAAAACACAACACAGGGGGAGGATGCTTCCTCTTGATCCGACATGTCGTCAGTCTCCAACACAGCTTGGGCAAACCCCGGGAGACCATGCGGTGGGTCCGTAATCCATCGGCCTCCAAGCCGGCGTGTTGCATCTCGGAGACCTCGCAAAGTTCGGGCTTCGGCACGATTCCCACAGGTCGGTTCCTTGAGCACCTTGCTTTGCCGGCTGCCATCAGCATGAGACGCATAGCGCAGACGGGCCTATAGCAAAAGGAGCCCCGCAATGAACAGAAGTGCAAACCAAGCACACCCAGCAGTGACTATAAAAGCGCAGGCATCCCACACACTGGAGATATTCTTAGTCACTACAGGGGCGCTCTCTGCAGTGGGCAACATCGCTAGGCCAAGCGCAAGGCCAAGTGATGTGTGTGAGAATGACAAGTCCGACCCGGCAGCGGGGGGCCGGTCGGAATCTTGTTGTCCTTGCGCTCCTGAGTCTCTTGGCGGCCTAGAACGGGACCTAGACCTTGTCCTAGGCGGGGGTGGGTCGATATCAAACCTGACGGGCTGAGGCGGAGGTGGCCCTCTTGGCGGATCCTCGGGTTCCAGGATGACATCAGAAAGTTCATCATCAGGTGTGCGGAGGGGGTCCTCTTCAGACTCCTCGTCGGGCCCAGAGGAACTCTCCTCCTCCGAACTCCAAGGATTGTCGAACTTGAACCCAAAAACCACTATCACCTTCAGCGAGATGGATTGTTCCCAGCCGCCCTGGCGGGGATATCGCAACACGGTAGCATGGCGGGGGGCGCAGCTGCAGGTACTGGACCAGGTAATGAGGATCTGCAGAGGGGGATGGCAGGTAGATATGAGTAATCTCCTGTCCGGCTTGTCTAGCATCCAGAAACACAAGGACTCCTTCACGCTCCGGAAAGGGAGTGAGCGGAAAGACGGCCATCACGTCCCTACACGTAACACCCCGGAAGTCAACATTAGCCAAACCATCCCCTGGCGGGGCTATGAAGATCATCCTTTCAGGTGTGCGATCCACGAGGTCTGATAAGAAACGGAGGGCCGGTGTGCCTGGGTATTTGGATGCACTATATATAGTGTTTCTGTCCCCATGCAGAACAAGGACCGGCTTGCTCTGGGCATCAGCCGGCAGCTGAGGGTCCTGGAGCCACCACTGTGGCCGGTCGAACCTTGCTGTAAGTGTACAGCACCAGGAGGCTGACTCACCAGCAGGTCTGTATTGCACAGTGCATCCAAGGGTGGCAAGGAAGGTGTCCCCAGCTTCCAGAGCTCGAGAGTGCCCCTGCACATAGATGCTGCACCTGTCGCAGCCTTGAAAATCGGCCTCGCTTTGGCAGTCAAAATGTGACAGATTTTCATGCACAATCCGGGCATAGACCGGGCCGTCGAAAGCCCGGAAATCGAAAACCACACACTGTCGCCCGGACTGCGGCAGCCACTTAGGAGCCAGCACAACGGATGCAAAGTCAGGCCCAAGCTGTGGAACAGTGGGTGCCAAAACTGAGCAATGTGGAAGGCGCAAGTGCTGAAGTCCGTCCCGAACAGCATTGAAGAAAGTCGCCAGGTCAACTGGTGGGCTCAGGGTGAGCCGAAGCACCTCAGCTTGGTATTGTGGCGCTAAAACATAACAGACACCTGCAAAGCTGGGAGGACCAAGCTGTCCAACCTCGGGCGGGGAATGCAACGGTGGCACCGGTATTTCATTTGTGTTCTCCAGAGGACGCTGCAGGTCATGATTCTGGACATGCGTGAGGAGATTGAGGCGCTGTTCTTCAGAGCTCGGAAAAACAGAGGTGTCCCCACCATGTGGGAGAGCCACATCTAGGGACTCTGGCACTAGGTCAGCCTGCATTTGCATTGCATGCATCACTGGCAGCCAACTTTCCGGTACGGCCCACACCTGCGTCGGGAGGCTGTAAAACAGGGATGCCCAGATCCAGCCCAAGCTGGTGAGTCTCCCGAAAGGTCGACTGGGTGGTCGAAGGAGACGCGCACCACGGCGATCGGGGCCACCATTAAAGCTCGGCCCATATACTCGGCTGGCCTGCATTGGTGAAAAGGCAGCGGCAGGCAGCAAGAGCTGAGTCGGCAAGCCGGAAGAGGGTACCAGGAGCATTTTCTTTAAAGGGCTCCAATGAGGCCCACACTGTCTTACAAGCATGCTGATGAGCACAATGAGCACCAGCAACGCAAAGTGTGTGCAGAAAGTTAGCAACAGGCTGGCGAGCCAAAAGTGCGCAGCAGTGGAGCCGACTCCTGATTGCGCCGCAGGCGCAGGACTCACAAGGCTTGAGAAAGCAGGCGGGAAGAACCGAGCACTGGTGGACGTCCCAGCGCCACCGATACGTCTCTTGGGCACACAGTGCATGTGGGTTCTCCCGTGATTGGCTGCATGCCGGGTGGCATTCAAAAGCTCAACCCGTTTAACACAAGCAGCAGCTCCGGTGCAAGGAGGGGCAAAACTGCAACCGGCAAGCGGAATCATGAGTATCTTGCAGAAAACACTGCGCCGTGGAAGCACCTCAGACAAACCAGTGAAGTCGACTTCGCCACAAGCAGAATGCGAGCAGACTGCAGCAGTGGTCGGGAAGGCCGGCTGTAGACGAAGTCCTAAAACCCCAAGGACCCTAGGGAAGGGAGGGCCTAAACCACAAAACCAAAGGGCTCGGGTCGAGGCTGCTGCCGTCGCCAACGCACAATCCCAGTGCGAGCGGACGGCCGCAATGTGGACGCCAAGCATCCCAAGATGCCCTGCACAATCCATGAGCAGGACTATCCTGGTTGCGGCAAGAGGAGGATTGAGATAGGCTCGGTGCGCAAACCAGGGAGCAAAATCAAGGCAGTCCAAGAGGTTCAAGCCCTCAGGGAAGGAACCGGAGGCGATCCCAGGGAGACCGTTGGAAGATGGGCACTCAGCTACAGAAGAAGGGTGAAACCGGATGTGTCCAAAGCAATCCATGTCAAAGTCACCTGCGCGCCCGCCTTGCCCACAGGAAGCTCGCACTGCAGGTGTCTGTCCCATAGACACCTGCATCTCAAGCTCGGCCCCCAGTTATCGCGAGTGCCTCTCAACCCATGCCGTCCAGCTTGCTTTCCGGTTGGCCACCCGGCTTGCTGCCCATTTGCTGGTCCTCTTCGGACTCCGAGAGGAGCTGTTGCCCCGTCGTGGTCAGGGTCGGCTCCAGTAGTCGATTGGGGTCCAGGCCGAAGGGCTGCATCGCCTGCCTCTTCGCAGCAAGTTTGTCGGCCAACCCCGAAGATCCGGTACCCGTATGCACTGGATGCAGGGTTCCACCTTTGATTGGCTGTCGAGGGCCCCGGGCCTTGGCTCCCGGGCTGGCCACAGCCGTAGAGTTCATCATCGGGATGCCCGGCTCTGGTCGCTCTACCTTCGGAGAGGAGAGGCAGGGTACGGTGCTGGGGGCGGCTCCTTGACGACATTCTGAGGTCCAGGGTCCTCCACAACAGGGGCCGTGGGCCTGGCCTGACCAGTCAAGACTCCATGTATGTCCAAGCCCGGCGGGAGATTTGCAAGGGTGGCCTGGAGTAGTCGTGCCGCCACCTCCGGAGTCATCATACTTCCCGTTCCTTCTGGAGCTCCGCCAAGCTGCGCATGCACAGAGTCTGCGGCGTGTAGGGCATCTCTCAGGAAACCCTCCTGAGTCGTGGCCTCGTCTCCTGATCGGCCGCACCGTCTTTCGACCATTGACAATGTCCTTGACGTCCTGAGCTGCCGCATGTCCCTGCCTGGTCGCCTCTGCGATATCCGATTCGATTCTCTGCAAAGCAGCTTCGTAGCGCCCTCTTTCCTTGACGTACTCTTCTTTGTGCTCTTTCTCGTAGCGCTTCCATTGTTCCTGCTTGCGCTGGCCTTCTTCGCGTAGTCGCCGAACACGACCATCCGCCTTCCTCGCATTGGTCAGGGCACGCTGTACGTCCTTCAAATCGTCTGCGCTGCCCTCCTGTTCTGTCCATGCCCCCTTGTTCTTGCCCTTGCCTTTCCATGAGCCTCCATCTGCTGGCAGAGGCATTTGGTCGTATCGTGGTCGGCCCTTCGGCGACGCCGAAGCGTGAGCTCCATGCCACACCTTCCACGGAGGCCGAGACGTAGAATAAGATGGCCAGTCCTGCGTTTGCCACTCTTCGGCCTGCCATGTTTTCTTTCCTCCCATGTCACGCTCAACCGACCTGAAAAGGGCAGCCTCTCTGTAGGCCGGCGCGGAGTGGTGAAGCTGCAAAAGACGGATGTCCCGCAGCAGTGGCACGCGTCCCTTGGCGCGACAGAGATGGAGACGCCTCCTCGCCTTCGAGCGGAGGGATCTCAGCCGACGATGCCACGCCGGTGAAAATGGCAAGCGGTGTCGGGCTATGGCAAAGCGTGCGCTGTAGCGCACTGGGGTTCCAGGCTATACGAGCCCGCTATTGGGCCGTTCGATCCCAAACCCTGCATACATGCATACATACATACACATATGTATGTATATATATATATATATATATATATATATATATATATATATATATATAGAACCTACGAAAAATGAAGTTCAAAAATGCCCTCAAACCTCACAGCGCATTGGTCAGCCGCAGAGCGTTCCGCTGTAGTGACACTCGCAGGACGTCGACTTCGTGGGATGGTGCATGCCGGTGCCAGTCTTCAACACCTGTAGCGTCATTTCGGCTGTTAACAATATGGTCAAGAGCGAGGACATGTGGCAAGCACTCATCTGCCATCGGCAGGCACATTATCCACCCCGAGACTGATGTGGGGCTGTGGAGCGTAGGACAAAAATCAGCATGTCCACATTGCAATGCAGCCCCACGAGCCTTGTACAGCAGCCCAGAAGGCAGCTTGATCACACCCTCTTCCGCCTCCTTCTCTTTCAAGAACGCGGTGCCCTCAGCAAAAATGGACTCAGCTCGCACTGCTGGTGCTAGACTGTGTGGATTCCTTCATTCATTTTTCGCAGCGAATGCCGCCGCGCGTTTACGCTGTCATGCAAACAGTGGCAGCCTCCCGCAGTCTTTCCAAGCCATGTGCGATTGAGATCGGTTTCAGCCCTGCTCTCTACAATCTGGAAGGCTCTGTCATCTTGCCCACAACTGCATCCGCATGTGCCGTTCATGCTACTGAGAGGAATCGCTTGAATCGCTTTTGGAAAGATCGCAGCTCTTAGGGTGCCTGACTCCCAGGCCTTGTCATCAGTGGCAGAAACTGCACACGCAAGAACCTCAGGTAGACATGCTTCCAATCCACAGAAGTCAAGAATCTGCAGCTCGTCAGCCGCTTGCAGGTTTCACGCCAGGTTCGGATGTGGGAGACGAGGATGTTCTCATCCTATGTAACCGAAACCCTTTATCTCCCAAGCTACGTCTGAAGATCATATTCACCGGGCGCAGTACCAAGCCGAGAACTGCAAGCATCTGCATGGCGTGGAACCCGACCTGAGGCGCCAGGCACAGTCAAAGAACGAGGTTCGCAAAAGCCTTGCATCAGTTCTTTGCCCTTTGCGTTGTCGGCAAGGAGCCTTGGCTGCGCTGGTTCCGAGAATTCCCCACTGATGGCTGGAGCCGCTGGCCACACGGTCGAAGAAGCAGCTCTGAGTCCAGACATCTGAGCATCGATTCGCATGTTTTTGCATGCCACGAGGTGCCCGGCCGGCATTTTGTTAGCTGCCGAGACTCTTTTGGATTCTTGCACGCCAGCCGGCAGTCAAAGCATTGCTGTACAGCGCTGTGACGCGCAAACCTCTTAGCCGGTTGCCAATTCATTAAGCATGGAAAACTCTCTGGTCGACATTTTGGCATCCGGGCTTGGGAAGTCGGCCGGGGGAAAGTGACAGACCGCGCTTTGCACAGGACGCCCACCAAGCCTGGCCAAAGCGCCTAGAGTTGTAGAGGGCCTAGACTACTCAACAGGCTGAGTTGAGCAAGGCCTGTATCACGAATGGGCTGTCCTGGGGTTCTGGTCTGAAGATTCGATCTGGTGAAGCAAAAGGCCCTCAACCCAGCCTGGGAAAAAGGCACAAGGCCTGTCTCTAGGCAGTGAATCACTTGGCATCGAACATTTTCTTCTCCTATGCAGCTCTGTACCAGGAGGATGCATCCAAACCTACAGACCGCAAGGACACCACACCTTCGTGCCGAAGCTGTCGAGGGCTGCGTGCGAGCACGCGTGTGCGAGCTTTTAGCAAATGCTACCCTGGTGATCCTCCTGCATCCTCCACCCACTTCGGAACTGTTCTGTCTCAAATCCAAGCCGTAGCACCGAAGCACCTCCGAGCACCTCAACGAAGGAGCATCTACCTGACACCAACACCTTGGCTCTGAGCTGCGAACCTCGAGTAGACGCTGTGTCACCTGCTTGGGGCATCATCCATGTTCCGGAGTATGGACTGGCATGTCGTTGGCACAACTAACATAACTCAGGGTTTACAGTGTGCAGTCACGGAATAACTGTTGCTTGCGTTAATCAATAAACAACAACAACACCAACACCACCACCACCACCACCACCACCACCACCAACAACAGCAACAGCAACAGCAACAACAACAACAACAACAACAACAACAATAGCAACAAACAACAACAAACAACAACAACAACAACAACAACAACAACAACAACAACAACAACACCACCACCAACACCAACACCAACACCAACACCAACACCAACACCAACACCAACACCAACACCAACACCAACACCAACAACAACTAGAACTACAACTACAACTACAACTACAACTACAACTATAACAACAACAACTACTAGTACTAGTACTAGTACTAGTACTAGTACTAGTACTAGTACTAGTACTAGTAGTAATAGTAGTAATAGTAGTAGTAGTAGTAGTAGTAGTAGTAGTAGTAGTAGTAGTGGTAGTAGTAGTAGTAGTAGTAGTAGTAGTAGTAGTAGTAGTAGTAGTAGTAGGGGTAGTAGTAGTAGTAGTAGTAGTAGTAGTAGTAGTAGTAGTAGTAGTAGTAGTAGTACTAGTAGTAGTAGTACTAGTATTACTAGTACTAGACTAGTACTAGTACTACTACTACTAGTACTACTATACTACTAGTATACTACTAGTACTACGTGGTGGATGGAGGAAATCTTGCACCACCTACACATCTTGTTTCGAATACACATCCAAGCAACAACCCCGCGCCCCCTTCTTAACATTGACGACAGACCTCTTGGGGCGGTGCAAGATTTATGTCATTGGAACGATTTTGTAAATCCCCGTGTTCATAGCAATGTTAAAAAGGGGGCGCGGGGTGAAGCTAACTAACATATCTTAAAAGTGGTGCAAGATTTCCTCCATCCACAGTCCCCAGAGCGGGGTCTAGCTTTGGCCTGCTCGTGGCTTTCCTATCATGGCTTGCAGATACTTCCAGTCAGGGCAACGTTGCATAGAAGTCACAGTCAACGTTCAGTTAACGTTCAGTCAACGTTACAGTCAACGTTCCAGTTAACGTTGCGAAAATGCTGGCGGGGGCAGCATTTTGGAGTTTTCAAGCATAAAAAGCAAGAAATACATGTATTTCTTGCTTTTTATGCTTGAAAACTCCAAAATGCTGCCCCTGCCAGCATTTTCGCAACGTTAACTGGAACGTTGACTGCAACGTTGACTGAACGTTAACTGAACGTTGACTGTACGTTAACTGCAAATTCCTACCAAATGTAGCAAAGTTGTGGAAGTCTTGCGATTTTAGAATGACTTGGCTGCTGCGCAAGATGCACTGTCAGGGCTGCATGGCTCCATTAGCGAAGACAGCGACATGGACGCTGCTATACGGCGATTCAGATTTTGCTGCAATGGCATTTCATGGCAAGCCACACAAGTACGTCACGCACCATGTCACGACCCTCTCGAAACGTCATATCACGAGCCTCTAGAAACGTCATTACTCGAGTCGGTGGATGGAGGAAATCTTGCACCACCTACACATCTTGTTTCGAATACACATCCAAGCAACAACCCCGCGCCCCCTTCTTAACATTGACGACAGACCTCTTGGGGCGGTGCAAGATTTATGTCATTGGAACGATTTTGTAAATCCCCGTGTTCATAGCAATGTTAAGAAGGGGGCGCGGGGTGAAGCTAACTAACATATCTTAAAAGTGGTGCAAGATTTCCTCCATCCACAGTAGTACTAGTACTACTACTACTACTACTACTACTACTACTACTACTACTACTAGTACTACTAGGACTACTACTACTACTACTACTACTGCTACTACTACTACTACTACTACTACTACTACTATTGCTACTACTACTACTACTACTACTACTACTACTACTACTACTGCTACTACCGCCACTACCACCACCTCAACCACCTCCGCATGACCGGCGGCGACGAGGACTAATGCTGCTATGGATCACTACTAGTGTTTGCTGCTGCCGCTACTGCTACTGCCACTTCTGGGCGAGGACGACGGCCCATCAGCGTTGTCACTGTCACCACCAGCAACGGTGAAAATTTTGTAGTCTCACCAGAATCAACATGGTCGTAGTCATCATCACGCTAACCATTGTCATTTCCATCTTCGCCACCATCATCATGGCCCATCATCGACATCATGGTCACCACAATGGCTACGACTACCAACATCACCATCGCCGTCACCATCATCATCTTAATCACCATGTCCATCACGTACAACATGGCATTCAGAAGAGCAAACGCCAAGCCGTGTCATTTGGCTTATCAGCCAAAGCATAATGCAAAACCCCGCAACTGTTCGATTTCCTGATCCTATACCTGTCCTTTACGTGACGAGGCCCCAAAACTGTATGCTCGTGTGATGTCCGTGCCCTCGTCTCCTCTGCTTGATCCTTGAAACCTAGATTAGGAAATCTCAAATTGGGAAGCTGATACACCACGATCGCATGGATAGTTGCCCACTTGCAAAGCGGCCATGCGGCCAAAACCTTTTTGTGAAGAAATCGATTACGGACGGAGGCGCGGCTGCTACGAGCAAAAGTGTGGTTGCTTCTCAACACTGCATCAGCCTTGGATGGACATCAGCCGACAACCTCACAGGCCGAGCCTCCTTCACTCTGGACAGAACATCTCCACGCTGTGCTTCGACCACGTGCTCGAGGATGGGGGCCTGGACTTCGCAGGGCAACAACAGAGTTCATCTCAGTCTTTTCTCGTGTGCAACTCTTGCCGCTGGGGCGTGATGCGCTGTCGGCTGAGGAAGCTGCCCATTTGTCCGGGTGCCACCGGATCAGCGCCGTCCGAAGCTTCCTTATTTTTGTCCCCAGGGGCCAGTGGCAGCAAACGCCGATGTGAACAAGAATACTTGCCAGCTGTACAATTCGAAGGATAAGTCCACGTCTGAGCATGGTCGCGGTGCCCTTCTTAATCCAGGTGGCTAGATCCGAAGATCAATGCTGCAGTCCCGGCAGGCAAAGCCTCTTTGCCGAGCTACTTTTTGATATCTGCCGTGGCATCAGACGCCAACACACCAGAGACAGAGGGCAAAGAGTGCGGCCACGGAATCTCCACCTGGGCTTTTGGAGCAAAGGCACAGGGGCAAGGCTTCATAAACCCAAAACCCAGTTGCAAAGCCTCATGCGCTACATCGAAGGCCTCGGCTCCTTTGGTCTTTTGCAGGTGACGGTTCGGTCGAGTGTGGGGGCTCTAACTTGCCAGCAAAAGTCGGCTAGTAAAGATATAGTCCCTCTAATGCCATGCCGCTCAACATGGCTCGATTGTTGTTGATTCCGAGCTGAGTGTCATCAGATGCCTGTATGCCTTACGGTCGCGCCAAGCTGCAGCGGTGAGCAGACCCTTCTGGCTTCCTGTGGCAAGAAGCAGTCTGGAGTCTCGACATATCTCGACAATGACTTCTGGAGGACATGCTGGCTACAGCACAGTTCCAAATGACACAGTGTTCAGGTGGGTCTGTTAGGCTTGCTAAAGTCAGCTCGTTTTTTTGCTGCTCTGTTGTCCGTTTCGCACGATTAGCTCCTGCTTCTCAAATTTTCTAATCTCTCGGACTGGATTGCCCCTCTTTCCCACACCTTCCTCCTTGTCCAAGTCTCCGGCCTCTTTTCTCTTTCTCAAATTTCCATCCCCTTCAACGGGTTTGCAACTTTTTCTGAGATACTGCTCTTTGTCATCTTTTCTGGTCTCTTTCTAGCGGCTGGCTGCCCCGGCTCAAGCTTTAAATCTCTTCTCGATTTACTTGCTCCTCTCCCTCAAATTCTCCTCTTTGTCAGATTGTGTATGTCAAAGCCTCGAGTCTCTTTCGACACCTGTTTGTCAAAATTTCTAATACCATTCGACTCTATGGCTCCTCTTTCTCAGATTCTCCTCTTTGTTAAACGCTGTTAATTCACTGTCTACTCGAGCCGTTTGCTACTCTTTTTTCTCGAGCTTTTTTACTCGTCTGTCTCAGGCACCGTAATCTTTTCCGAGCGGTTTGCTTCTGCTGACCAAATCTACTCGCCTTCCGACGAGACAATCCATGTTGTTTTCTTTCGGCATCAGCAGGCCCACAAGCAACTCTCACTTCTTTACGCTTTCTGGTTCGCGTCTACTCCTCTTTCACACGCTATCCTGTATGTCAAATTCTTCAATCTCTTTCCAACGGCTTGCTTCCGTTTCTCAAAATTCTGTAGTCGCTGCTCCTCCTAAGGTCTCTTAGTCTCTCGCAAGCGGGTCGCTACCGCTACTCCATCTTTGTGCAATCCAATCTCTAAGCTCTTTCGAGCGGTTTGCGCCTGTTTCTCAAGTGCCCCAGTCCTTGACGCCTCTATTCCCATGCTCTTTTCTCTAGACGAATTAAACCGTAAAGCCGCCGCCCGGAATGCCCCGGCCTGACGACAGTCGCTGCTCGAAGGCCTGCCAGGCAGCGGCGAACTCCGCGAAGGAGGCGAAAGACCGACCTGCGGATGCCTCTGTGCAGGACAATGGAGTCTTCGAAAATAGGGTACCCTTATATAATACACTGAACAGTAGGATCCTTACGGGAACACCCACAAGGAGTTTGAGCGCGGCGAAACTCGGGACGCTGGCCCTTGAATTCATACTGCATATCTCCTTGCTTCACCTTCAACGAGTTGCATTTGGCAGTGGAGGGTGATGATTGCCATTCAGCAAATTATCTAGTCTACGTCCTCCATCATGAGATTCTTTGCAGAATGGCAGGCCACATCAGGCTGCATGCCCTCTGGCAGGCATATCCCTGATTGGCCACCTTACTAGACTCGGATTTCGGACCTCGGCAAAAGCGGTGGACCGGAAAAAGCCTCTTAGCTTCGCTCTGATAATTCAAACATTGGAGACTGAGACCATGCTTTGCGAGCCTTCTGTGAATAGATCCTGAAAGCACGACATGTGCAGGCGCCTTTGCAGCCGGCTCTGGTTGCGGGGCCCTAGGCGGCAACCAGCCTCGAGCAATCGCAAAGGCATGATGCCGATCTTGATTGCACGTCTGCCTCTAGAGGTTCCTCTGATACGTGAACAGCCATTTGCACTGATCTGGCACAGCTCGTGAGAGCATCAGCTACAAAGCTCAAGTCAAGATATCGGTGACAACTTTTCCGACTCGGTGCAATGCATTAGCACATGCTCGCACGTCGACAGCTCGACAGGCTTGGAAGCTGTAGGTGTAACACCTTGCGGATCTTGCTGAGCTGTGTCGCCCTCATACGACTACCAGTTGTTTCGCTCTTCGACACTGCGGCAACATCCATGCCCCATGCCCATTTATCAAATTCTGGCAATGGTGCCCAGCTGAGGCCATGACCAGTCGACTTCGGCTCCTCACGGTTTCTTGTGATTCCGATGGCTTTGCCGGCTTCTAGGATGCACATGGAGAATCCGCACGAAAAGCCGAGACTGGCGGAGCTCCAGTTGACGCGACGCTGTCTGAGAGTCCTTCTTCGGGGGGTCTGGTGTCCGTCGCTGATGCTGCTGCTGCTGCTGGGGCCTCAGTCCCAAATAAGACTGGTAGACTGTCACCTTGAAGATACATCTCGTGCCGTCGCCCGGCCGTCGCCCGTACGTACGACTACTTGTGAATTCTGGCCAATGCCGCATTCTCGGCCGATGTCTCGACGAGGACAGCGTGCTGAAGTTTGCTCGATTTTTAGTCTGACAGATGTTCGTGCAAAGAAACAGGGGTGCCTGATCCACACCTCTTACAAGACTTACCTCACGCCTGCGACTAGTGAGTCTTGAGAGTGCCCAGCCATAGCACCAAGTGCTCAACAGCACTGGCTATCTCATGACAGAACCCCGGTGTTGATGCACATGTGCTGTATGTGACATGCAGCGGCTTGGGGCCAGGACTTTCTGTAGGAGTTTTTTGCCGACTGGTCAGCGGCTCGCTCCTTCTCCTGGGCATTGCATGCAGCACTGCGAAGACCACGGAAAGCCCGGACAAGTGATCGTCGTTCCGGCGATCCTCGTCGCCCGGTACGTAGCAGCAGGAGCAGCAGACTAGGCATAGGAGGACGAAGAGTAGCGGCGGCCGCAACCGGAGCGGCACGATCACTAGCAGTCACTAGCATCGCGGTGCCCACCAGCATCATTAATTAGCATCATCGGAATCAGCATCATCAGCATCAGCATGAACATCAACATCGTCATCATCATCATCGTCTGCGTCATCATGCCAGCTGGCTTGGCGGTGGTGATGATGAGAACGACGCCCGGCCACGGGCAGCTTCTATGGCAGGCTCCAGTTCGATGCCAAACATGTACCCCAAAGAGTTTCCAGTAAAGGCATGTCCTGCCTTCAACACGGACAACAGGCCAGTCCCGTCTGCTCAATGCAACGACAACAGATGTCTGCCATGATGTCTGCTTCAACTCGGACCTGTCTCGAAAGTCATAGCCGTGACCATCACAGTGTAGGAAAGCTGCTTGAACAGCATGCAAAAGGCCCAACCCTGTTCCAAGGCCCCCGACAGCCTGCACACGTCGGTACCACTCTGCCTCAGGCCAGGCCAAGGAAGCGAAGAGTTCGTGGAGTTGCAGGAGATACATGACATGTCAGCTAATCTCGCCTAACGCATTCAATACACCCGAAGCCACGAGGATGGAGGATGGTATCCCTGCCTCCCTCTCGCGCTCTTCGGCATATTGCGCCTCGTAACTCCGCCGCTGCCTGACCGAGTGAGTGCCACAACATCCACGTACTTTTGAACAAGCCCTTACTTTCGGAAAAGTAAGACTCCGCGTGTGCAGGCAAGGCCACCAGAGCCAAAGACTGACCAGCTTTGCAAACAAGCTCCAACACCAACCATCAGAGCACAATCCCTGTCGATCCCTCTTTTTTCAGGGGCGTTGCGAGCGTCGGTAAATGAGTACGCGGAGGGTATTCATTGACGCAGCATCCGATTACGGCTCTATGAATCCGCACAGACTGCTACTCTTGTGGAGTGTCTGGAGCAGGTCTTCCAACCACAGAGTACTTCTCTGCCGGCAAGCATCCGCTGTACTCCTAGCCTTATTGTCGCATGCCCTAACTTTAGCATCTTTCGGATGCTCGGTTCCATCCAAACAAAGCAGGCAACGCCCTGGAAAGCCTGAATCTGTGCTCCTGTCGCACCGCACACGCTTCGAGCTCGACTTCGGCCCCTTCGCGGGGCCCTCAATCAGCGCGGATCACTGTAATTGAGATAACGGGCGGAAACTTTTGGAGCGTCCTCGGTCGGCCCGGGGGCCTGGCCTGCCCGGCTTTGTTGCCTCGAGGGACCCCGATGCAAGTGGCCACATCCTGCGGCTTCTTGCCTCCGCATGATTCCCCCGTTTCACCCCTCTTGGATCACATGTGCCGCGGCCTCACGATTTGCCGTCAGAAGCCTGCATGCTTTGTGCTATCCCACCGACGCATTCCTCGCCGTAGTGGAAGCATTGTCGCTCTCAGAACGGCCATCGAAATCTATGAGTCGTTCCCTTGTTACTCTGCACTCGCCGTCTTAGAATAGCACGCGACCTGGTGTGCCTAGCCTGGGGCATTGGGACTTACAACATGATGACCTTGAGCTCTCCATTCTCGGTGCTTTACGCCAGGGAACGACTGCTTGCACGCGTGCGACTCGCAGAGCTAAAGCTTGAGCCCAAGCTGCGGGCCCAGTTTCCCACCATTTCGGCCAAAGTCCAGCTTCGCGAGCCCTCCGTGCTTGAATTTTCTGAACATCACTGGTGCCCCATGCAGCATAGGCCTCAAGCGCTCCATGTCCTCAAAGCGTCGAAACCTGTCTTGCAGTGAACACCAACATAGCGGCAGTGAGCCACAGTAACAGAGAAACCATAGACGCAGACACATGGTTCGACCACAACAGGTCAAAAGGCAAACAGCGTCTGGAAGAGAACGGGACAGATGCAGACACACACTGCCAGATGCACCAAGACATGTAAAGCAAGGCAGAGCATGGACTGGGAAAGGGCCAATTTGAGGAACAAACGATGCGTGTTCCAGTCCCGGTCCCAGTTCCGGGGTTCTGGTCCCGACTGCATGAACAAGCTCCAGCTTCAAACACTCTCGCCAGCTCGAGAACACAACAAACCCTTCTCAAGATGAGTCTGACAATTTTCTCAATGGTCACGCCACATGTCTATGTTAACAAGAAGACTCCCGTTAGTGCATCTGAAACAAAATATGTTAGTTCGAGCGAGTAGGCTCTTCAGACCATCGCGTTTCCCACTCGGCCCAGGGATCTCTTTGAGCTGGCTGAGCTGGCTTGCTCTTCAACGCGGTCCTGGGCCCACTCTTGGAAGTATTGCTGTGCTGCACAGTGGCCGCTTTGTTTTCGAGCTGAAACTGAAAGTTACACCTAAGCTGCCTCATCCTTCCGTTTTTTACATTAGCACCTGGGGCCAAGCCTCCAGGCACTGTCGTTGCAGGGGCTCCAGCTCAGCTGTGGTTATGGTGCCCTAGACCCGCCGCAGACAGGATCCGAAAGAATCGAACTCCAACGAAACTAGGATGAATATTTTTGTATGCATGCACGGCATGCGTGCATGTTCCACTGCGGTGGCCCCTGAGCAGTTAATCACAGGCAGTGCAGCCGCCAAGTTGGCATGCGGTACGCCCTTGCGCACGTACCACTGTCGTTCACCGGACCCACTGCAGACATCGGACAGTATCCAACAATGCACCATGAGTCCAGCCCATTTTGCTGATAACACCACTCCTCCAAATCCTGTGTCATGTTGCCTGTCGGGCCTGTTTCTAAGATGATTGGGTGATACAGTAGCTTAGACTCGAGTTGCTCGGATGGTGGCCGCTTAGGCTGCCCTTCAACAGTTGCCCGGATTCTGGCTGAGAATCTAGGAGGCAGTCGGAACTCCCATGAACTCCCTTTGCGCCACAAACGAATCCCCACATACTGCTTACCGACATCCAGAACTCCGATAAACACAACACTAGCTCAGTATCCCCATGCCCTCGGGGATCCGAATCTACATAATGCGCTGGGCATCGGCCGCGCAGGCCGACTTGGTGCTGATGGTGCTGTCGGCGGTGCCGGCGCTGCCAAAGCTGGCCCCGGGAAAGCTGCGAGCAGCCTTTGAGGATGCGGTCTCTTGGGCGCCCCCCCGCATACCCAAGTTGGGGTCCCGGAGCCTGCCGCCCGGATTCGCCGCAGAGTAGCTGACCTTCTCACCACTAGCAAGCCTGGCCAGGATCCATCAAGAGTAACGCCGGGTTGTGATGCCAAAGTCAATTTTCGCAGCAAGTTCTGCACAATCTTTCCCCAATCTTAACCCGAAGACGAACGCGCGAAGAAACGTCTCGAGGAGCCTCCTCAGCTGCTGCAGACCATGCAGCCTCTGTTGAGCTCGTTGGCCCTGCCTCGGGAACCCCGCCCGCACCTCCCAATCAGCTTCAGTTCGGTCCACATTGTCACAGCCTCAGGGCATCGAGATCCTTCCACGAAGCCCAGTTGGGTGCCCAGCGCTGCCAGCACGCTGCGAGGCTCTAGGAAGTAGTCATCCTCCTCTTCGTCCACCTCCTCTGGCACTCTGTCACTCAAGCCCTTGACTCACAAACTTCGGATACCAAATTTAGTCTGTGGCGGGCCATTAGTCCGATTCCCTCTTCCGGCACATCGCTGTCAAGTCCTCAACTCTTCAACTGCACTCAAACCACACAAGCTTTAGTTGACCAGAACTTAGGCACCAGTATGTCTTGGCCCTTGTAGACCTCGCGTCTATGCAATGGGGCTCACTGCCCGAAGGCAGAAAGTTCGAAGTATCGTTCGGGGGCACACAGCCTGAAACAGCCGATGCGCAAAAAACGTATCCAGCCCATAGCATCGACATCCCGAAGCTCGAGGCCTGTCCGGTGATGTCCGCGAGCAAGGGCTGCCGAGGCCTGGTGTGGAAAACGAGGATCCGCAAGCGTGCGCCGCCTTCACCTTTTGCTTTCACCCCCCCCCCCCCCCCCCCCCGAAACAAAGCAAAGCATCACCCCTCAAGTTGCGAGAAACCCCTCTGTGACCTGCAATCCGATGTGACTGAACATGGTTGGCTCTCCTCGAAGAACGTCCAAATAGCAGATGGCAACCCAGACCAGGAGTGCACGCTCGACTGCACCCTAATATCTTTAACTTCGACCCTCAACGAACCCCTGCATGTATACGGACAAGGTTATCCCGGTAGCCGGTGCTGTCTCAGGGCCCTGCTGTGCTCGACCTGGTCTCGACTTGAAGTTGCTGGCCCACCCCGCCCGAAGAGCCTGCGAAGCTGCTGGGTCCAGGCACTACGGAGTATGTCGCAGTATGTCTTCAGATCTCCCCCAGCTGTCGCCCAGGCCTCCAGGTCCTCATCAACTCCGTTCGATTCGAAATCCTGCAGAGGCGCTCGGTCGTGCGTCCGCATGCGTCCAACCGCCGAAGTAGCACGCGGACGCCAAGCACGCAATAATGCATTCACCTCACCTGAGCAGCTTGAGGTTGCTTAGTGCTTTCTCTGCATGCTTCTGCTAAGCTTGCATGCTACCAAGGGGTCCTCGAGCATACGCTGCGCAGCCTTCCTGACGGGAAAAGTCATCGTGTCCCAAGTCAAGGAACACGCTCTGCTAGAAATAAACACCAGCCTCTGGTAGATGTCGAGGATGTCCTTCAAGGCTTTTTCGGCGGTCGAAAGTTTGGGCTTCTACCGAGATCAAGCCGGGGTTTCTGAATGCTGTCGGCTGCATGTCCTCGAAAATGTCTGGCTTGCCATGAGTGCCATGTCTGGCACCTGCAGGTCTCACTCGCGTTCTGGTCCACCAGCTTAGCTATCTGAGGTAAGCCAGCCGTAGCTCTCCGGATGTTACACGTGGTATTACAATGATGCTGCCCCCAACAAACAAGAGATGAATCAAGGAAACGCAACGCCCATTCTTCCACCACAATCACGTTGTGCCTGCATTGTCATCGATGCCAGGCGGGACAGTTTTTCTGCTTCTAGATGCAATTGGCCCTCCCCTGCGGCTGGTATGAATTGATTTCACTTCACATTTTTCTGTTTTCGGGTCCTTCTTGCAGTCTAAGTTCTGGAAGGTGTTGCACGTTATCCACCAGGTACCACCCTCCTCTTCCATGGTCATGCCTGGCTCCGCAAGCCGAATCGAATCTGGCGCCGCAGACCTGGAGCGGCAAAATCAGGAGTGCTTTCCCACCTGCCTTGCTGACCCAGCCGTGCTGTTTTGGGGTTCCGGGTTTATTCTTTCTTTTGTTGAAGGTCGGGGCGGACAGCGCTGGGGACTAAACTCACAACCCGTCTTGAACCATCCCCTCGCGTTGTCAGTGCTCTGCATCTCACAGGCTGAAGTCTTCACAGCAAGTACCATCGAGAAGCCCTTCCAGCCTGAAGGTGTCACCTGTCAGCTTTAATCCACCCACACTGAATGAACCTGAGTTCTTATATGCCAAAAGCCGTGAACTGCAGGTACAGGCATTGTTCGTCTGGCCTCTCTCCATCCCCGCAAGCAACCCTGCCGCGGCCTGCGTGAGACCTCCTGACCTTAGCATCGGCAGTCTGGCTCAGCCTAGTGGAACTTTCGGCTAGCCCTTACCTCAAGTTCAAAAGCATCGACGCAATTCTGGTGTGATGTCGCCTCTCCTTAGTCCGACTTTCACCGCGCCGCCGCGCCGCGCCACGAAAGCCCCCACGAGCTGAGCTAGGACGCGTGCACGGGTCAAAGCTTGAACTGAGGGCATCTTACTGATTGAATCTAGGCACGTACACACGCGGCGTTGATTGTGTGAATATGTGTGAATGTCACGCAATTCCCAATCCTTGCGACAAACACCTTGAGTGGCTGCTTGCAGGGTCGTGGGTTGCTTCGTTTGTCCTCAATCTTACTCGTGTTCTTCCTCAAGCAATCCGGCTGTGGGATTGAAGTTTTCAGGAATGCGTTGGCAAAGTTCGAGGTGCTGCGCATGCATGCATCACACAAACAGAACAGCCTCTCTGACAGGCATCTCGATGTCTCTGACAGGCATCTCGATGTGTGGACAATCGGCATTGTGCTGTCATCTGCGGCCGGGATGCTTCGCACTTGCATTGCGATCAATCGTCAACCATGGGCAAACTGAAAGCTGTACGCAGTGCCCTCCTTGCGTTTACACCCTGATTTTTGGACGGTGAACACGTCTCAATAGCTAATAGATTAAACGACCTGCTCTTTGTCGGCCAACATGGATCTTGGGCCAAACATGCCCTCGTACGAAATCCGCTGATCCTCGAGCTTGCCACCTTCAAGGTTTCTCTCTCTCTCTCTCTCTCTTGCTTGCTTGCTTGCTTGCTTGTCTGAAACTTTCCCTGTCTCCGCTCACTGTACAGAAAAAGGAAAGCCCCATTGTGCTCACCTTCTCTTTCTCCAGCGCAGTCCTTCTCTTGCTCTCTGTCTCTATCCCTGCCTGGATTTCTTGCTCTCTCAAGCCTGTGAGGTCCCTCATGTGGGCACCTTTCAAGTCTGCTTCTCGCGTACAACAGTGCACGAGACTCTTGCTTAAGGGTGCGAAGGTTCTGTGTGATGTTGACAGAACTGACCGTTCCAGTAATTTAGGTATCCGTGAATTCTCATCTGCAGGTCATGCATGGCAGTCTCCTCGAAACGGTTCGACTTAGTAGTGCTGAAGATCGCTAGCTGCGTGTTTCAAGTGCATGATTCCGGCCCATGTGCCAAAGAACTGACATGACAGTTGTGTACTGGCAGGGTGTGATTCCTTAGAGTCTTCGTGCCTTCTTTTTTGCGCGGGTGTCATGTGTCGAGTCAAACTGGCCGTGTCTCAAAGCCTCCCTGTGATCGAATCCGGTAGTGGATGTCTCCATGAAAACTGTGCTGAGAGACACCTCCATGTTAAAAGCGACTCTGGGAGGCTGAGGCTCAGAAATGAGGAATGTAAGTCGGAACATAATACTAGTAGTAACAAGTGCAACACTCATTGCCAACATTGTAGCTGCAGGGCCAAATTGACTGAAGCTAGGCAATCTGAAAGATGATTCTGATTCTCTGAGCAAAGATCCAGCAGCCCAACTTGGGTTCAGCTCGGAATGCAAGAGTCCAAAGTTAGACGGCAAAGTCTGCTCTGTCAGGGAGACAGAAAGCGAGTCGCGAGTTTACTTTCGCACCGCTTTGGCTCAGCCAAGGGAACTATCCGGTACATGCTTCATGTACCTAAAATGAACGATGCTCCGCGTCCTCCGAACGCGGGAGCTCAAAAGCAATTCCTGCACTTTCGCATCCCATCCGTCCGTCTGAATCACTGTCCGATGCACCTATGGAGCTCAAGCGACCCAGTTCGTCAAAGTCGGTGATAGCATCTGTCACTTCCGCTGGCCTTAGCGCTGGGGAGG